GTTAAAAAGTGTGGAAAGATGACAACCAGTTTATTTTCTCTCTCTCTCTCTCTCTATATATATATATATATATATCGCAATACCGTTATCGGTCCTGGTTGTCAACTTATTATCATAACGAATAATGTCTGTGGTAATAGCACCCAAATGCGTTGGGGATATTCCATCTATAAGATAATATCCAAACGCCGATGTCAGTCTGGTCAGCCGTCATGGAAAATCATTCAAAAAAAAAAAACATCAGTCAAATAAGGGTACGAAGCTGAGTGCTTACACTCACAACGTCTCAGTTTCTACTGTCTATAGCCAGTTGTGGGAATGCAGCTACCCTTAAAATTCTTAAAGTAGAAATGAAATGAAAAAAACAAAAAAAAAACACCCTAATATTTCTACTAATTAAACTCCCAACCTCCACCCGTACAAAAAAGATATTAAATAGAACTATGCACCCTACCTTAAAAGTTCTTATATAGTTCTAACTCTCAACCTCCTCCCTTTCTCCTAAAGATTTATTAAAGTATAACACGGGACTGTTAAATCATCTATGCAACTGAAAGTGTTAATGTATAAGTTAGGATTTAAGGTCTGCTTCATAAATAAGTTTTCATAAAAGAACAGATACAGGTTGGCCATATTTTGAAGAGAAGTTCTTTCCCATTGGAATACCCACGGTATTTGCTTATATAGTTGTTCGTTAAAAATAATATAGCTATTATAAAGTCAGAAATGGAGTATATATTTTTACATTGAAATCTGGTAAGTTTAAATTTGGGTATAGTTATCAAACAAATCATTGAAAACCCTGATTAAATCTTTTAAGTCTACCTTAGTTTACAATGCAGTAAAGTCATATATAAAATATATATGTATATATATTTGAAATTCAATGGTGCAATTTTGTTGTCGGGCCACGTAGAATCCTCATTACACTGATAATTCATATGACATTTGTTTGATTCATTTCTTTAGTGAGTAAAGATTTTACGACTCAGTTTCACACACATGTAAATATAAAAACTATATTTAAACTACGAAAAACAAATTGATTTTGGATCCTCAAATCAGGCTCTATCCGATCAGAGGAAAATAATGTTCTGATCCAGAAACTATCATGGTCATCAATGTTATTAGTCGGCTCTTTTTCACAGACCGATATGCAAAGAGTGAAGGTTTTACCTCAAATCTCGTATTTCCGCATGAAATTGCGGTAAAGTTAAAACGTTCATGACAAAAGCTATCAAATGATACTATAACCATATCCGTCAGTTCCATACTACAGACTGCTAAATAAATACTTTTTTCTTCTGTTTCACTTGTAGTTTGCGGCCTTGAAGTCGAGGTATTATTGTACAAAATAAAAATACGACCCAATTAATAAGTTTATCACAACAGTGCAATATCACAAAATGGTTTGAAGTAGCAAGTTATCACTCAGTGTGGCTTTCTAGTTTACCTTCAATTTTCCAAGACGATTAACGATTTAATTTTGTAATGGAAACAATTAAGTATACATAAATTCAATAATACACCATAAACACGTATTATACTGCAAAAGCAATGGCTATGGAATGAGATATGTAATTACAAAAGCAATGGCTGTGGAATGAGATATGTAATTACAAAAGCAATGGCTATAGAATGAGATATGTAATTACAAAAGCAATGGCTATGGAATGAGATATGTAATTACAAAAGCAATGGCTATAGAATGAGATACGTAATTACAAAAGCAATGGCTATAGAATGAGATATGTAATTACAAAAGCAATGGCTATGGAATGAGATATGTAATTACAAAAGCAATGGCTATGGAATGAGATATGTAATTACAAAAGCAATGGCTATAGAATGAGTTATGTAATTACAAAAGCAATGGCTATGGAATGAGATATGTAATTACAAAAGCAATGGCTATGGAATGAGATATGTAATTACAAAAGCAATGGCTATGGAATGAGATATGTAATTACAAAAGCAATGGCTATAGAATGAGATATGTTATTACAAAAACTAGGCAGTGTTCGTTTATGGAAAGAACACGACCTATTAGGAGAGACCAAACACTCGGTTTAGTTTTTGAAACCTGGAATCAACTGACAGTAGATCAATTTTTTTCTTGTAAGTCATTGAAAAAAAATCATGATTTTGCAACGTTTACATCTAAACAATGGATAGTGTAAAGAAGATGAATTTTATCAAGCCTAAAGTGACCCAAAAATTTGTTTTTAGTTGTTTTGGATAAAACATGAAACACACCACACACATAGAGAAATAAGTATGATTGAAAAGGCCAGATTCTTTAATGGGGATAATTCATGTCAAGTCTTGTTCTTACTGTATCTAATGTGCAAAATATTGTGAACATTTTACATATTAGTTGGTTCTTATCTAATTTTTGTGTAAATTTCATGTCAATTTCCAAACTCATTCTAAGGTTTAAATATTGTTTTTCTTATATTTGCCGTTACTAATTTGCTATAATTTTGATACACTGTAAACTGATATCAGAAAAAAAAATTAAAGTATCACAATGCTTGTTTGTTCCTAGTTAAGCACAAAGCTACACAATTGGCTATCTGTGTTCTGCCCACCATGAGTATCACAATGCAATGGGACAACTAGAGACCAACATATACGTACATAAACTTTAATTGTGTCAAAAAAAAAAAAGGAACAAAAGATTGTGATTTTGTAATTCATTTTTTTCAGTTATAAAAATAATTTGATTTTATTATCTTTAATTCCATATCAGAACAGAAAATAGAAGATCAGCAAAGGAATTTGGTTGTAATTACGAATATACAAATATTTAAATAAATGTGTATTAATTCATAAAGTGATTTAGTATAAAAACATCTCTCACACAAATAGTGAATGTTTAATTTTAATACTTTAGATAAGAATATGATACGTAAAAGATACAGTATTAAAAATATTTCACTTTAGTCTTATTGTATGAAATTTAAATATTTAATACAATCACACAAATACATAGCGAAATTCAATTAGACATAACATTAGGAAAGTAAACTCTTCAGTAGTCTAACTCGTATTAATTACTACTTCCTACTTAACATTTGTTAGTTTTCAGAAATAACTATTTATTTATTTTCAGTAAAATGTTTTTGTAAAATGAAGAAAAATTAATAGAACTAAAAACTTTGCATCATAACACACCAAAGTTATAAGAGTGCTATAGTAAGTTTAAGTTAAACTCAATACCTAACATACAATACAAAACATATGGCTAAAAATGTATGACACTTCTGTTGAAATTATTTTCCATTACAGGGAAGAGGATAACATTACAGAAATATTTTCCTCATAGTAGCAGAGTTGTCAGTAATGTCATTTAGAAAAACATGGTATAAACTCTGTGCACAATGTCCTCATTTTGTTTTGATTGTAATCTTTGTGTCTGACTTAATATAGCTTGGCTTTTTTTTTTATTCAGAAAAACAACAAACTACATTTACAAAAAACTTTTGAAAACTAATAATACTGATTCTTTATTTACTCAGTAAATTACACCTATTGTTAAGCTGGAAGACTAAGTTGTTCTGCTATACAAGTATGAAGTTACAACATCTACTTCACTATATATATACACACACAATTCAATAAGGTCAACTTCACACACACAAAAAAAACCACCATCACACAGTACTAATATAATATCGCTATGAAATGCATGTTATATATATGTATGTTTTATATAATGTTTCAAATGATCATGTACCTAGTATTTTTGCTGAATAGGATATGAAGCCAGAGGTTCCTTCAATATTTAATTTCATAAATTATTCTAATGACTTTTAACTGAAGATTAAAAAACAAACTTTATTTGGCCTTTACAAGTTTATGTAAAAAAATAACAATGTTCTTGTTTTTTATTTTCTTCCTTTTTCACTTTAAATTAACTTTTTTAATTATCCTTTTTTTCTCAACTTCATG